GAAGATGGGATAGGAGAGCGACTTCATCAGTGGCTTTGACCCTGTCCTGTCCTTGACTCCCTAGCGGAGGTGCACCTTGAGAAGAGCCCATGTGACGCTAGTGCTCATGCTCACATACGTACACACACACCAGAGAGTAAGACGCACGCACACACACACAAACATATATACACAACAACCCCTCAAGGCTCCCTGTTCACAAGGCTATCAGTGGAATGAGGGTGGCTGGTGTTTGCTCAGCTTTGAGGCCTGTTTCCCGTCCCAGTATTCGCCTAAGCACAGAGAAAAACGCACACTTAACGGATGAGAGATTTGAGGATTTGAGACGAATTCAGGAAAATCGAAATTTTCAGAAATTGAAGGAAATTAAGTACTCGGAAAGGACGCGATCAAACGAGGGATCCACTGTGACTCTGCCTGTTCTCTGGACTCTTCAGCCATGGCACAGTCTTATCAGCGGGAGAGGGGGTTGGGGACAAGCAACGTGGGGAGTAGGAAGAAAGGGGACATGGGTTGTGTTTGCCTAAAGTGACAGTGTGGACCAAGAGCTTATCAAGGCCTTTGTAGATTATTGATCAGAGCAGATACGTGAGGCACAGGGGCCTATGTTGTGAGTGTGTGTTCGAGGTTCGGGAAGCTCTGGCTTGACTCACTGAAATGTCACCGGCCTGCTCAACTTCAATTTCAGCTCTTGTTTTGAAACATATGTTTCGCTGGCAGCAGAAGTGAGAATATTCTTAAGATACAGTCACTGCAAAGAAACGTAGTATACATCAATGCCAGATGACCCCATCAATGGCGTTCAGTGCAAAACTAAATCTATAAATTCCCTGTCTCACACACACAGACAAATACAGTGACTGAAAAGCATGGGAAGTGTTGGTATTCCCAGGCTGAGTTGGGGTTAGGAATTAACCTGGCTGGCAGCGGGGGCTTATGTTGTGTCCCTGCATTTCATCCTTCAAGGCTACAGCTCACTAGCGCACACACTCACTTACACACACAGCCTTATCTTCCAGGGTCTCATCTTGTTTGGCCAACGCTGTGCAAATAGAAGGTGCAATACATCTCCTGACAGTTCCCAAAAGCAAAGGGGAGAAACACGTTGGCCAAACAAACAGCTCAACCCTGAGTCACCGAGAGAGAAGAGATTTCTCAGGCTTAACCGAAACACATGCAAAGACACACACACACACACACACACGCATACACTTGCACACAGTGTCTGTAACAGCAGCCTTTATTCGAGGGCTTGGGCCTCTGGCTACCTTTTTAAACGTTTGTCTAAGCAGTCTTAAGACAGGGGCCGGAGTGAATAGGTCCCAGCAAGCCGTCCACAGGCTCCTATTGTCCTCCGTCATATTTTATTATCTCATCAAAAAGCAGGAAATCCGATTCCCTCTCTCTGAAAAAGAGCTTATCCTTCTGTCTCAAAGCAACCTGTCACGAGAGAGGGAGATGGAGAGAGGTGGAGAGAATGGGGGAGAGAGTTGTGAGGCAGAGCCGGGGAGTCGGTGAATGAGAGTGATTAACTGCCTCATCGCTGCCTCTTGTCAGAGAAGTCCCTCTTTCTTTCTCTCTGTTTCTTTCATCCTTTCTTCTTGATTGGTATTTACCCAACACACAGCATGATGCAAAGGTCAGGGAAACGTGTGTCGTATTGCTGATTCTTTTCTCCCTTTTTCCCCTCCACCTCTCTTCTTCCTTTCATATTGTGTTACACAGGGGTAGAGCCACAATAATATCCCTTTTCATGAATGCGTTTGTTTTTTTGGACCCGTCACCACACACACACACACACTTCCAACCTCTCTGTCTTCCTCGCACCTTTTCTCAGAACAAAACCACTTATTTTTCCAGCAGAAAGCGTGTGTGTGACACATGCAGAGGTCAACCTCAGTCAGGCTAGTCCTCTTTCATTCAGACTCTTCCACGTTAAGTCGGCTAAATTTGAAACTGCTGTGCAAAGACGACGTTTCCACACCGGTGTGGATTTCAGGTTGTTTTTCATTAAGATCTCAGACAACAGTGAAACAGCTGAAGAGTAGAAAATTGCTTAAATCGCTTCTGTCTCTCTTTTGTCAGTCAAACTATACAACTCTACAACACAACCAACAACTGCTAAAGCGCGGGACAGACAGCAGTCAGTCTCAGTGGTTTAAACCTCAGTTCTGTCCTTGTGCTTCCCATCACTTCCCACACTAATCTTAATTATGTGCAAACTCCTTTCTGTTACCTCAGAAACCATAAACTGGTGTTTTGATCACAGACTTTAAATGCACCCTGTTGACAAGGCAAACACTGATACTGATCAAATCGCATATCTTGATTGTGAAGAAGTCCGGCAGTTAAAAATAAATGCAGATTAATGACAACACCTGCACAGTGTGATCGTCTATATTTACATTGAAAGTGGGGATCACACACAAAGTTAGAGGTGACAGACAGTTATCTGTCAGCCGCTGACTATGACTAAGCAGGCTTTCGTCATCATTTTACCAACAGCTTATTTTTCCACACAAAAGTGCAAAGATGGCATTTTCTGATTTATCCTCTCTGGAGACATTTTTTCAGGTGGAGAAATCACTGGATAGTGTGGACCGAAACCCGAAGAGAAAAAGGTTCAGCCGACATAGTGTAAATGAACTCTCAGTCACTTTGTTTGCCTTTTCCAGGAGTCATTCACACACACACACACTCAGCCCGCCATCTATACTTTTATTTCCCCCTCCCTCCTTCCCTCTCTCCTCCCCTCTTTGTACATCTGTCCTTTAATTTTGGGCTCCGCTGAGAAGTTGTTAAAAAGCCCTATGAAATATGTATGAAGGATTGTGAGCCACGCGATTGGCCCCATTTACCGGACAGCCGAGCGAATGAACGGCCACACTGGATAATCCCCCACAATGCCTCTGGAACAAAGGCCCAACAGCTGACCCTAGAGAGAAAGAGAGAGATGAAGAGGGGGGGGGGGGGGGGGGGGGGGGTGAGGGAGGGGATTGAGTGGGACAAGGGAGGGGTTGCAAACAGTTATGGCTCACTGCTGGTCAGGAGGCAGCTTGCTCACATACACAACTCACACATACTTACAAAACAAAGGCTTGTGGGACAGGAATAACTCCCTCTGTTCTGTCGCTCCGCTCCCTCTCCTTAGACTCTTCTCAGCCCCTCCTTCTCTTGCCATCGCTCTCTCCCTCCCTCCCATTCTCACTCTCTCGCGCTCTCAGTCAAGAGGATCTGAAATACCAATACCCTTTTCTCCTTGACATTGCTTTCTCCTTGCAGTCAGCGTTTTGCTGTCCTTTTATAGTCAAAACGTCAGGAGAAATTCCATGCAGAAATATTCTTAGTAATGCGGCACTCCCTGCGTCTAACGGCTAGGGCGCTAGCGCTGCACCGGCCCGTTAGCGAGGTCTTTTGGGAAAAGGTTGCGCATGCCGGCACAGGCATTTACAGCGCATACACACATAGTTGCCCTCGTACCGGGGGTCATTGTGCCAGTATTTCAGAGTTGACAGCAGCCCAAACAATGAATTATATGCGCTTCTGTCCCAGCAGAGGGACAGAAGCGAATTTGGGGAATTGGGTTAGCTTGTGTGTTTCCTCTCTCTATCAAACACACACACACACACACAGAGCTTACAAGCTCCTTATTCACGACTCACCTTTTCACTCGAGCAGTGGACAGAGATATGCACACACACCAGACACACGGGCATCTTAACCTCCATTCATCACCCGGAGGGGGGCCGGGTGGCTGTCCCATGCGTGTATAAGTGTGTGTGTGTGTGTGTGAGAAGAGGCATGCCTGTGTGTACATGTCCGTTTTGTGTGTGTTCCAGTGGCCACTAACCTTGCTGTGTCCTGACACTCCTGATGAGTATCTGCAGGACACTGGAGGAGAGGAGTGGAGCGGAGTGCGCACTGTCAGGCGTTTGGGCAAGCTGGTGCTGCTGTATATGTGTGTGTGAGACAGTGTGTGTTTGTGTGTGTGCGAGCATCATGGGAGGCGGGCAGGGAGACAGTCAGCATTATCCAAGCAGGTGACCCCTGAAGGCTGTGTCGCCCAGGAGCTTTGAGACGAGGAAAGAGACTCAGCCAAATACACCAGGGTAGCTTGTGTGTGTGTGTGTGTGTGTGTGTGTGTTTAGCATTATGTGGAGCTCTGTAACCGTACAGGATGTGTCATCTCCTTGGCACAAGGAGGTGTGTGCGCTGGTGTGTGTGCTCACGCTTGCATGACTGTGTGTGTGTGTGTCTGTGTGTGTGACAGAGTGTTGGCTTGGGGGAAGGTGTCACAGATCTTTGCCAGACTAATCATCTCCATGGTGTCGGTGAGCGCTGCTGTCAGGGACACTAAAGAGGCGGCGTGTCTCCCCGTTCCCAAAGCATTTAGTACTTCCTCTTTGGCCAGCACCTCTCCGCCGCGCTTCACTTCAGCTCCGTTTTCTTGTTTGATCACAGATTTACAGTGGGACTCATAAAGATGTCACGCTCACTGTGTTGCAGGCAGGGAAGTGGGAGGTGTGAGAAACCTGAGAATTCACAAGAAGTGACTTTTCTCAGGCTGGCGCCTCAATTGGCTTTTAAGGAAGTAGGAACTCAAGAGACGGGACATTTATGGTTTTAATCCATTGTTAAGATATGAGCATATTCTACAGGGTGAGAGATAACAGCTGTGTTAAGCATAATGCAAGAACAAACTGCTGCAAAATGATAGAAATGTGAAGAGGAAGAAGTGATTTTGCGAAATCCTGTGTGTGTGTGTGTGTGTGTGGATGAAGCTGAGTGGAAGCAAAAGTTCCTCATAGAAACCAGATAAACCTTCCTGAAATTCAAAACAATTCACTTTTGAGCTTTGAGTCAATTCTAGATGATTTTGACGCCTTACAGGTTTTGTCTCGTTAAAGAGAAGCAATGTATTCAAAAGCTTTTTTCTTCAGATGCACATAGAATATACTGCCGTAGATGAATAATCATTTCTTTCCTTCCCGTCTGTAAAGGTCCCTGAACGCTTCCTGGAGGTGGCAGAGATCACACTGAGGGAGTTCTTCAACGCCATCGTGGCCGGCAAAGACGTGGACCCGTCCTGGAAGAAGGCCATCTACAAGGTCATCTGCAAACTGGACAGCGAGGTCCCCGAGGTCTTCAAGTCCCCCAATTGTCTCCAAGAGCTTCTACATGAGTAAATTTCCCCTCCTCCTCCTCCTCCTACTCGCACGATGCTTTGGCTTCATTTCTCTCTGATTTCATAGATTTTCAAAATATTCTCTTTTGTTATTTTCCTTTTCCTCAACTTTTCCGTTGATTTCCTGTTTTTAAAAAAAAAAAAAAATTATTTTTGAATGTATGAAAGTTATGAAGTAGCATTCCCAATCTGCAGCCTCCGTGGCAGTTCCTAAACGACCTAGCTATTGTCTTGCTGTTCTTATATGATAATTCTCATGATGGTTATTATTTGTTTTGTTTTGTATGATTCTGAACTGAAGAGACTCTGATCTTATTGGGTGCTTTTTTTGGCCGGTGTGAAATCATCCGTTTGGCTTGTTTTATGATCGACACTAACAAAGTCCTCAGTGTGTGGAAGGAGTTCCTAAGTTCCCATTTACACTACTAAGAACACTGCTGGGTTCCCTAAAGACTTTCGATTGGCACCCAGGGGTGTCCCTCCAATCCAGTGGGTGTCCAAATGAACTGTCCTCGCAAAGCGGGTGCCCAATAGACTGTGCTACTGATGATGTCCCCAACAGGACAGTCACACGCACACACATGCACACGAAAACAAGGCCTAGTGAGGTTATTGACTGGACTAAGACTGGACTCGGTCTGCACTAGTCTGTGGGACTTGGACTGGTTTCAAATAGCTACTGAGCTCTACCATGTTTTGAAGTGTGTTTTCCCTGCAGATAGGGCATTGTGTTTATTGGGTGTACATTATTATTTAGATTATTATTATTGTTGTTGTTTATGATTATTATTATTTGTCATCACTGCTTGCTGAAGATTGGCACTTCGAGATGTGTTTGTCCCTTGATGCTGTTGCAGAAAAAAATAAATTATTGCTATTAATATTATTACAAGAGTTTAGATTCTGAAATATTTTGCCCACCCCCCCCTTTCCCATCCCTCTCCTTACTTATGTTTTTGTTTGTCCATCTCTGAAGTGGACTTTGGTTTGTTTATTTTGTTTTTTTTTTGGTGGTCTGGGGTAACTTGCCTGGAAAGTGTTTCTATTTGGGATTTTAATGGAGGGCCATCAGTGGGCTTCTCTATACGCCTGTAGTCACTAGCCTTTCCTGCACAGGACCAGTCTGGCAGTGGTGTTGGAAAAGAAGTAAGGCGGCAGACACCCATAATTAAACGTGCAGAAGTATAGAAATATGCATAAGATGTGAGGCCTTTTGGTGCGTGACCTGCTGTTTTTGTATGGCTAAATTTCCATAGCCACTCCCGCTTTGATAACTAAACTGCTCCCACTAAATGAGCCATTTGTCCAGCTATCAAATAAATCGTATTTGTCGAATCATCTGTTCCAGATTGCTGAACATACACAATATTAATAACTGCATAGTTTTTTGTCTTTTTACAGCATTGTTCACTAAATAGCTTGTGTATGAAATTAAGTCAGCCTGTTTATATGGCAGGCCTTTATTGTGATTAGCCTTTACGAGGTGTAAATGGCATTATGAAGTTATTTCAACAGCAGTTGATACTTGAATATATCAGAATACTGTGGCAGTCTAAAGTACAGTGCTGCTGAAACAGTAGATAATTGAAAACAAAACAAATAGAAGCATCACAGAGAGGAAGATTATTAAAGAAGGGCAGAGAGAGAGGTGAATATAAGCTGAAACACAGTTCTTTAATTCGGCTTCAAGTGGAACTTCCCCCACAAACAACACACACACACACACACACACTGCTGCTTCCCTCGATGTTCACCTGCCTTTGAGTGATCTAGCTCCTCTCTCAATGCAACAATACAAGGTCGGAGGTGAGCACTCACCCCAGGGGTAGATGGAGAAGCTCTCAGCACCACAAAGAGCGGGGACAAAGGCACAGAGTGAGGAGCAACACGCACCTGAGACCCTCTGCTCTGGCCCTCCGTCCCAAAACTGGCAGCTTTTTAAGACCCAACGTGTGATTCTGCTGAAGCCACTGTGCCCAGCTTGTTAAACATCATTCCTTTCACTTTTACCTGGGATTCTAATCCCAGATTTTCCACTTGCAGTTGCACATGACTTTCTAGGGCTGGCTTTTAAGAATATTTAGAAGCAGTTAGTGTAAGCTGCCCTTTTGATGAGGTAAGTTTGAGGCAATGACTTTAATGCTTTCAAGAGTGCGTGCGAGCTAGCTGTTGATCTCACCTTGGCGACATTATCTTATGGTGTGTCTGTGTGCGTGTGTGTGTGTGTCACAAAAGATCAAAAGGGGCAGGTTGCTTAACCTGCTGACTTGTCTAAGCGAGACAAAGCGCCTGACAAAAGGAGGCAGAGAAAGACAGAGAGCTACTCCCTTCATTATGTCCCCCCTCTCCTCCTCCCCGAACAGTGTTCTTAAGATCCGGGAGTCCTGAGAGAGTGAGCCGGACACATTTCTCACTGAAGGACGGGCTAGGCCCTGTATGTCTCAGAGTCTCAAAGCACCAGCCAAGGGCTCTAAAGCACTACAAACAAAAGAGAAAGGAAAGGACACTTTTATCTGATGCACAGATTATTATCGCTCCCCATCCTCCACCCTTCCTGCAACCCCGCCCTAAAGTTAGAGTTCCTGCGCCTAAAAAGATTAATTCAGGATAATGAAGACTTATGTGCAAAAAGGATTAGCAAGACCTTAATACCACGTTGAAAATATTTTTGTCAAGTTTTTCTTCTCTGGGGATCGTTTGATTTTAAGGATGACATTATTGAAATACATATATAGCCTTTTTTAAGAATTGTAAAAGATAAATCTATGGGAAAAAATATATACAAAAGTTCCTTGAAAGCACTGTTGTTAAATTGTTTCATAAAATAAATCTTGAGGGTATTTTTAGTGACGGCTTTGTTTAAATCTGTATTCTGACTAAGTGAGTTGTTGGTAGATTAGGAGCAATAGTTGTAGGTTTTTTGTTTTTTTTGCAGATTTTGTGACCAGTTTTTTCTTTTGGTTTCTTTACCTTTTTTTGTATTGTGCTGAATGACTGTCTTCTCAAGATCAGAAAACTAAACGTGGAATCTGTTTCAGAGTATGAAATGTTGTTGCTTCTGTAAATACTGTCAGGATGAAACAAAGAATAGCTGTACAGTTTTTCTATTATCACTCTGAGTGCTAAAGAAGGGTGAGAGTGGTTTGAAAAAAAAGAAAAGTGAAAAAAAAGAGCGATGACCCGCTCTCACCAACCGGACTCATAACCACTCTTCCAAAAACCCACAGAGGAGGAGAGGGTTTTCTTTTTTTCCCCCCCTGCCATGCCTTTAACGGGGGCCTGTTTCCCGTCGGCAGTGCCCTTGAAGTTGCACCAGCATCCGTTTCTTTAACTTTCGCTGACAGAACGATGCATTAGACTAGCGGTCGGGTAATGATGATGTCACAGAGCGGCCCGTTGGCGGGACCCAGGTCTCGTCCAAAAAACGAGGGCAGACTGCCTCCGGCGTATAGCTCTAGATTTGACCCAGGAGAGAGAGAGACAGGAACTCATTGTCATCAGAAGACTAGTGTCATGGAGGGGGCACATGTTGTACAGTAACAGTTTAAAAAGAGAAGTGATTTATACCCTTTTTTACCGGGTTCAAACGGTCGGGAAAAGTTTGGACTTTTGTGGAATTTCTGTACGCTTTGCATTTTGCGTGTGTAGATGTATATGAGTGTGTGTCTGTGTGAGAGAAAAGACCGATTATGAGAACCTGTGAACCAGTGAGTGACACAATTCTCAACACTGTGGCCCCTCCCCCACCCCTGGGATTACCATCCTGACATGTAAATGATTCTCATTAAGCGTTGGCAACGTGTGTTTGGTGTGCGTGCGTGTGTGTGTGTGTGTGTGTGTGTGTGTTGCGACAATTTCCTCTGATCTGTTTTCTGACCTGTTTGAAAGGGTTATTTGTTTCTCAATGCTTTCAGTAGTCTTTTTTTATTATTATTACATTGCTCCTCTTTTTTTTGTAAATATCAATGATGTGGACTTACAGTGATAAATACTGCCTTTGTGTAACTTAGCAATATGTTATGTAAATAGTGTTTTGTTGATGCTTTTTGTATGACATTATTATTCAATGCTAGTGCAGTAATTCCAACTGGAACAGCCATGTTTCAATTACAGCCTGAATAGTTACACAGGTTGTAAAATAAAACTCATGACATGGCTGTTTTTTTTCTGTTATTGGTGTCTATTTGTCTTGCAGATTTTGTGTAATTTATTGGTTTAATTTATCCTAATTTATTTGATGTTGTTTTCTTTTGTTTTTCAAACAGGGAAGGCTGTACTGCATTTCATTAAGTAGAACCAATTTAAAAGATTTTAATCCTTATCTACCTAAAATTGAATTAAAATTGTATTCTAGCGGGCTCATTCAATTGAGATAAATGATAAAATGGAAATCTTGGCAGCTAAACGGAACTGGACAGTTTTGAAGAAAAAAAAAGGTTGTTTTGTTTTGTTCCGGGATGGGGCCGAGGGTGAGCTAGAAAGCTGACACTAAGTTTGAAGCAGTTTTGTATTTTCTCTTGAGATTTTTTCCCCTGTATTGCTTTGGCCCAGCCCAAAAACAACCAGTAGTCAAATTGCCTTTCGTGCCTTCACCCTCTATGAACTGAATGTATGTGCAGTATATATGCAAGCTTGTGCAAAATGAATAAAAAATGGAAATAAAAATGAAAAAATGTAGAAAACATCTGCTGTTTGTGGTTTATTTATATGACTTTCTACAAGGTACATGCACAAAAAACTGTGTGTGTGTGTGTGTGTGTGTGTGTGTGTGTGTGTGTGTGTGAGAGTGAGATGATTGATAGATCATTAATAGAAAGAAAGTAATTTGAATGATATAAAGATACGGTATTACCTGATATATCCTATCTTTTTACTCAACTTTTTTTACTTACAGTACAACTGCATCACTGACTACAGTTTATGTATTTACTGTACAGTTATTTTGTCTCGTTTGAGTGAATCTGCGCCGCTCTGCTCTCTGAGTGATTCAATGCAGTAATGAGGGGTGTGTGGGGGGGGACAGCGGAGCAGCAACCTCCCAGCCGAGTTTTCCTTACAGATGAACAATCGCCAGGTACACACATAAACAAACACAAAATTAAGTCTTCTCAGCTCTTAAGCTTAAAAGATATATCTACTAAATAAAGATAAGTTAATTACTTAGAAAAACATTTAGGAAAACAGCAGGAAGACAAACCTCTCGAAATTTGAGCTTTAACTATAGAGCTGCAACTGATTATTTAGGATTATCGATTCATCTGCCAATTATCTCAAAAAATAATTTTGTCTAAATAATGTATTCAAATAGCTTGTTATATTCAACCAACAATCCAAAACCCAAAGAAAACATGCATCAAATCCTCACAGTTTGAGAAGCCACGACCAGATCATGTTTCTATTAAATATTAAAATGATTAATTCATTTTAATAATTGTTGCAGATTACTTATCTGTCAATCAAATAATTTATTAATCAACTAATTGTATCAGCTCCAGCTCAAACCAATGTATTGTGTATCTGTATTTCTTTGTGTGTAGACGTTCAAACTAGTGAAATGTTATAATGTCAAAAATTCTAAGAAATAATACAAAATATTTAACAAAAATGTAAAATACTAAAGAAAGATTTTGTTCTCATGACACATTCCCGTTTATTTTGCATTAAGAAAATATATATTTTATGAGTTTGCAAGTCTTTTAAAAAGAAAAAACACACTTCGATTTCCAAAAGGCTTGGTGTGTTCTCTCTGCGTCATTTTGCCTGTTTTCATATCATGACCTCTGTTGTACTTTCCACCACGCCAGCCCGTTGCTCTGTTCCTTTTTTCTTTCTTTTGTTCTTGCCTCACTGCCTTTCACTCTTTTTGCTTTGATGCTCATTTTTGGAGTTGCTTCTTTTGTGTCTTTCTTGCTTGCTTGCTTTTATTCTTTCTTTTTTTTTTTTCTCCTCTCCTGTGTTCCTTTTCCCTCTCGTCCTCCGCCTGCCTCCCTCCGCTTGCCTTAACCGGAGGCTACAGCTCCTTAGGTTGGGCTGAGACAGCATCTTTGTACAACACCGACCGTCTGCTCTGTAATCAAATACCATCTGTCGCTACATCTGAAGACTCACTCTCTCGCTTCCTCCATCACACACACACACACGCATGTAGGCACACACATGCACATGCACACACACACACACACACCACATCTGTTTCCCACTCTTGAACAATGTGTGTGTGTGTGCGCTTTTCATGTACATTGACCCATGTACTTGCAATCATTCCACCTGATTCATTCTTGGCCTGCAGGGAGGAAGTCACAGGAGTCACTTTCACCACTTCCTGTTTTTTCCACCTCTCCCGCTGGGGGTTCTAAGGTCATTGTCTTCAGGTATCCATGTTTGTTCTGTGGCTCTGTGTGTCAGCAAGACCTTGGCTGCTGTATCAGAGAGGAGATAGTGGACTTTAGCTCCTCAGTCTTAGATCAACGGCCCACTATCTCAAAGGCTGACAGTCTTTCCCAATGTTTGCCCAATGTTTGTCCCTGCTCCGGCACAGAAAACGTTGACACGGTCCCCAAGGTCCCTCTCCAAGTCCCCCCTCCCTCCGTGGTCACTTGTTATCACACGCTCAGGTTCAAGAACATTTTCGGTTACTGTTAAGAATGTGTTTTTTTTCGGATGAAATTGTTTTCTTTAAGCTTTCACATTAGTGGCAAGTGTGTTTTACAGCTTGATGGCAGTGGGGATTTACAGCACGCCAACCCAACAACAAACAGAACATTTTTGGGGGGGTAAATATTACCACACATATGCGCTGATGTAACTCATGCTGAGGAACCTTTGTGACGAAGCAACACAAGGATCCATTTCGTACTCATTTCGATTTCTTCTCTGTGCGATCCTCCTACCAGCGACCAAATGAGCTATCCTCCGTTTGAACCACTTTGACACCTACACCTGCAAAATGACTGTGGGCTTGAAACTAAAACAGCTGAATATTATTATTTATAAGATTGTTCTCCATCAGAGGACTTTTGTTCACAGAGGATGGCAATCTGTATGTATGTGTGTATCTCCTTCTACCTGCTTACCAGTGCATTTATTTCATCATTGCGGCTGGAATTAAAGTTTTCACACAAAAATGATTCCAGTTTCAATCAAAAAGCCTGAAAACTGATTTAAATATTGCAACGATTGATGGATTCATTCTGCATGTGTTTTGTAATTAAACACTGGATTTCATCTATTGTGGATGGAGCAACACACTGGTCTTATGCTCCAGAGCTACTGGCACAGTGTGGGATTAACTCATGGGTTGCCCACATTTGGCATCCGAGATGGGGACATCTAGTGGTCAGTATGTGCAGCTTACTCTCTCCGTGTGCTGTTTTTGATGCTGTTCTCATATCATCCTTGTGCAATCAATGCCCTTTTTGTTTTTGTTCAGTTTCTATTCATCCCTAATTCTTTATCTTTTGATTAATTTGTTCTTTCATTTTCTACCCCCCTCCTTTCTTTCTGTCTTCACATCACTTGCGTGTGCGTGTGCGTGTGTGTGTGTGTGTGTGTGTGTGTGCATTTGTTTTGTAGAATTGGAAGATTCCAGTTGGACAGATCATTGTGCCCCCTTTTTTCTCCCAATCTCTTTTTCTCTCTCTCTCTCTCTCTCTCTCTCTCTCTCTCTCTCTCTCTCTCT